TTATTATAAAGTAAGTTACTTTAGTTCCATTAAAAAAATATCAAAAAATAAAATTATATACAAGATACTACACTGTAATGAAGTGCTAATGATAAAGGTTCTAAACTTGTAAATATTTATCGGCGTATTTTAAAATAATACTTACATTATTCCACCATAAATCCGAACACTTTCGGTTAGACCGACCTATGCTAGTGGTAACATATTGAAAAGGTAATATTTTCTTGAAGATTTAGCTCTAAAAGAAATCGATAATATGGAGGAAAGTGTTAAGAAACTCTATGTCTGCTTTGAAAACTTTGAACATCATTTTTTAATAATGTGTTCTTTGTAATAATTTATGAAATTTCAAAATACTAAAAATAAATAGTTAATAAAACTTTTTATATTGAATAACTACATCTGAAGCATAGATTGAGGAAGAGAGAAAATTTATTTTAGGGGATATGGTGGTTTCACAATGGGTCAATAGGTGCGTTGTCAAACTCCCACACTACCCACTTACCTACCTACTATCAAAAAACCTACTAGGAAAAAATTTAAAATGATACGCCTCAAAATTGGACGATTATATATATAGGTGCATCATCAGACTCCTACTCTATCCACTTACCTACCCACAATATTAACCAACTTTTAATAGGATATTTGAAAAAAGTCAGTATGAATGTAAAAGCTTCCAAACCATTAATCTATGAAAAGAAATGCTACGTTTTGGAGAAATGTAAAATGCCACCCCTCATTATTAGAAGATTATATATAGGTTTATCGTCAGACTCCCAATCTAACTTTTTGCATACCCACTTCCTACCCACAATTTTAACCAAAATTTCACTTCTGAATTTTTGAAGTTTAAGTATATGTAGAACTTGTGAACATTTGTGTAATACAATATTTTCCAAATTAAATTTAAACATTTTTTTAAACAAAATTTAAACCCTACCTTAATATTTATATCCTTGACAAGTCAATTGACACTAACTATGACTAGCGATCTAAAGCCTTTCAAGCTTCCATCAGGAAGATTTTAATGTTGATAACCAGCTGATTGCAGAAAAGTTTGCGATTTTCGAAGAAACATTTCTTACTCAAAACTGTTCCTAAAAGTACACTAAATCCTGTTCTAAGTTCTATTATAAGATGAGGCCATTATAAAAATAAAATTATAATAGAATTGCATTTTATTTAATAATGATTATATTAAATGTTTGTATTAAATATTTTTCGAAATGGTCACCTTTTGCTACCACACAAGCCCCCAAACGATTCGATCATTTATCAATGAAAGCAGGCACAGTTTTTATTGGTATAGACCACATCAGTCGAACCAAGTATGTTTTAAGACTCTCAAATTTTCTGTGGGGTATTCGACAGACCACATTTTCCAACACTGACCAGAAACAGTATTTCAACGGACGCACCTTATGACTTCCAGACGGCCAATCATATTCAGTTATGAAGCAGGAATATTGCTTTTAAGCCCGTGCTGGTTGGGTTTTGCCTTGTGTGCTGGAAGAAAATCTTGCTGGCGGATCCAATGCTCTCCACCGCAAAGAGTATTGCTTATCAACTTTAGCACGCATTCTAAAATATGCTACTGGTACACTTCAGTCCGAGTTTTAATCCCTTTTCATAGCAGTGAACAAGTGTCATTTCTTTACAGTAGACTCCCTTTGACCGTATAAAAAACTGGGTTAGCTCCAATTACGTAGACCCGACTGAACGGCTCTTTCAATCCATAATAACAGCTGGACGGTGACCACAGTTAAACCTTGGAAGAACATTTTTTGCCTTTTTGGAAGTTTTAAATTTGAATATATGAAGTCCTTTACTTTAGTATATACATATTTTATACCTCTGTTTCTGTTATTAATACCATGCATATATTTAAATCCGATTTACCATACTTTTCTTCTCTAGCTTTAAATGAATCTCCGTGCAAAACCGGATGATGAGAGCTTCTTCGAACATAAGCTCGCATTTTATATATGAAAAGTATTATTCTAATACGTTAGACGACGGTCTTGGATCATTTGAAAGTTTTGGACCCTTTTACGGTTTCCACAATATCTATCGAAGACTAATACTTTTAATCAAACACAAACCCAGACAAATTTCTTGGATGTTGATTACCTTGTCAAAGGTAACTTCGGGCTGCTGATGCATGTCAAAGAGCACGAAAGAGAAAGATAGAGAAAACTTTTATTTACGTAATAAAGGGTGAAACATTTTGACATTCCTTATTTCTTTGAAGAAAAATCACCGAAACTTTAAACTAAATGGGAAATATTTATTATCATTTGATAGAACTTTCTTTGGTATTTATTTTTGAAGATTATCTCTTTAATGTTGGCCGCGGCTACGTCTCAGATAGTCCCTCCAGTGAGTTCAATTCGCTAACTCGTTCGAGCATTTCGACTGGTAACTGGCGCATGCCACGGGTGAAGTTTTGCTCCAAGGTTTGAATCGTAGCAGCATTTTTCACATAGACTTTTGAATCAATATATGCCCACAAGAAAAAGTCCAACATGTGATATCACACCAACTTGGTGGCCAAATTGCGAAACGTGAAATTATCTGCTCACCGAACTGACTTTAAAAATGCATGCCATAAAACATTTTTCACGAAACAGTTGAAACCTCGTCTCGATGACCTTTCAAAATTTTGAAAAATTGTTCTTTTCCGTAGTTGGCAACAAAAACTGGCAGTGTGCATCTTCAGACTTAAAGAAAATTAAATATATAATGTAAAAGTTGTTTACCACTACGTCGCAAGAGTTAAAGAAATATGGAATATTTGTATTTTTGTATGAAAAGTGTTAATGGTTAGATGCAGTCAGCGACATGCAAAATTTAAAATATTTTTTTTTTAGCTAGCAAATTAATACAGTTTATAAAAGTAAAAAAATACATCATTAAATAAGGTTTCACTTACTTTACTGAAATTTGGAAAAAAAAATTTTTTAAAATAATTAATTAAAACCGAAGCTGCTTGTGGTGATCAGCACCTTCAAAATAACTTTTTATTTAATTTTTTCTTTTAAATTTTTTTTTATTTTGTTCTGTTATAAAAATTACGACATTACACCTAGTTCAAACTGATCAATATGATTTGCGCTTCCAAAATTAGTTTATGCAAATATATATTTAATAACAATATAAAATTTATTTTAAATACTAATCACAAAGTATGTATATATCAATATGCTATTATATACAAATATGTTACGACATAGAATATAAAGAAAGTAATGTTATGTATATTTGTATTCACAATTTTTTTTTTTTTTAATTTGTTTTCAATTTATACTCGTACTCGTATTATTCTGGGGCACTACGGTTGACACAATAATTAAGTTATTTAACCTTAAACGCTTAGCAATTAAGCAAGAAATGCCAGAAAAAACATGTATGTATGTAATATGCTAATGAAATCACAAACGATTTTATTACTTTTCGTGCAAAACCTACAAATTAAGTGAATTAGGCGAAAATGTGTAAAAAGTGGACACACACACACCAACAATGTGTGTGTATGTATATGTTTCTTTAGTTGTTAGTACAAAAGGAATGATGACAAGCCCGCAACTGGCATTGCCGGCGAGTTGCCGTAATTGCTAAATAAAAGTGACAATTACATTTATCTTGAAAGGCGATCGGCAGTTTGAACTTGCAGCAGAAAACAATCAAAACAAAAGCAGAACTAAGCAAATGTACATAAATCAGCAGGCAATTGCTATTGTCTTGTGGGGAAACCTTACTTTTACAAGCATGTAGCGTTTATTATGTATGTATTTGTATTAAAGCAAACTTATTCAATGTCAATTTCAAAAACAAAAAAAAAAAAACAAAAAAAAAAAAATTTATATGTGTAAGTGAAAACCAGAAGATTGGGATAATTGCAAGCACAGACCGCGTCGTTTTGAAATTTTAGTTGAAATGTCAAAATGTTTGTTATGCCACCAAACACATGCAAAATATTATATTATATATAAGGACCTTTTTGCATTAAATAATCGCTGTCATGTTTTCTATGCGAAATGTATTATTGCAATGAAATAAATAAATACATATTACAAATATCTATTCCGAATCCAAATTTGATGACTTCTCACTGCACAGTTAGACTTTCAGATACACAGGCAAGATCGGCTCGACGTAAAGCAATTACGCCTAATAAGAAACTACTTGACAAATTAATCCTTTTTTTTTAATTTAATTGGCCTTAAAATGGCCTTTTGATTTTATGAGATCCATCACCCAATTATGCGTTGCGCAGCTATTTACCTTTTTTCTGTGCTTCAGAGCATTTGCTGCCATTGTCATATTTGTTAATATTTCTTTATCACTATTTAAGAGAATATTCTTCATATGTCAAACTATGATGTACTATGGTGCAAATTTCGTTGCTCATAATAATTGAAATTATTTTGAATAGCAATTTA